TCGTTTATTTAGAAGGGACAATGCACATTAATGAACACTTAAAACAAAAAAATGCAAATAGTGTAAATATGCCGGATTTTAACTTGGAGCTCATTTCCATCCGCAGTCCCTCGCATAAAACATTTAAGAACATGACAATTATACCCATAGCAAAAACAAATACATGATATGCAAAAAGTGCAAAAGAGCAAGAGCAGCATACACAAGTATTTACCACATGGCAGTACACTATAGCAGCAACGACATATAAAGTGCAAGAGGAGATACCCCTGTGTTAAAGTGCATTTAGCGGTGATCGCACGTCTGTTTGTTTCTAAACCATTCTTTGAGTTGACCTTTTAAAACTGTTCAAAGTAGGACAATCCCGTATCTCAGTTGGGAGGCTGTTCAAGAATGAGCTGCCTTTAATGGAGAGGACGTTTTGTCCAAAGTGGTCCGTCTACGGTGGACCTCACAGTCTCCTCTGGTTTATGACCTAGTGCAGCGTCCAGTGTGTTTTTTGTAGATGAATTCCCCTAAGGGAGGGGGGGCCAGTCCATGTATCGTCTCATTCTTGTATAACCATATTTAAAATGATTATTAAATCTATTGTAATCCTCCCCGCCAATCTTTAGAAGTTTTAATCAATACATTACAAAATATTTATATACCTGATTTTGATCGTCTTTTTAAAATAAGTGCTTTCAACCATGTGGGTATTACCCAAAAAAGAATCAATAATTTTGCAAGTATATCAAATTAAAATGTTACAATTTAGAGACATTAAAAAATGTTGTTGTATTTGTATTTTATGGGCGTGAATGCAGTTTATTTTCTATTTTTTATCAAGTCAAATCTATTTAAAACATTGACCTACCTTGCTCCACAGTGTTCAGCAGAGACAGAGTGATAAACACATCCAGGAATCTTTGAAGGAAAGTCATCACAAATCTAGAAAGAAAAGAGGTTTGAACCCAATCAATATTTTCTTATATCTTAGTATCTTTGCATATTACGTGAATAAAGCAAGTTCAATTGTTACAAATTGAGATATTTAAGACTATGATCATTAATAATTCTACTACTTTTTGAGATTTCAAGTTTACATTTTCAAGATTTCCTCACCTAAACATTTAACAAGTGCAACACACTTGTCTTAAAACAATGTTCAAGCCTAGAGAACAATGAAGTACTTACCTGCATCAATGAAATAGCCCTGAGAGCAAAGGAGATCTCTAAATCCTGTTCCAGACTCTGGAGATGTAGCAGAGATTATACACGCTGCTTCAAAGCAGATGGATGAAGCACAAACATGTCTCTGCAAACAAGGAGGGTATGAGTGTGTGTGTGTGTGTGTGTGTGTGTGTGTGTGTGTGTGTGTGTGTGTGTGTGTGTGTGTGTGTGTGTGTGTGTGTGTGTGTGTGTGTGTGTGTGTGTGTGTGTGTGTGTGTGTGGAACGAGAGCGGTGTATTGATGCTGTGATTGGTCCACTTGTGTTCTTATGTGGGTCTGCACCTGTGTGCAGGTGAGAGAGCTAGAGGGGAGGAGATGGTTATGGACATATTGAATGAATATCTTACCAGTCTTTCAAAGATTTTTTCTAAACTATAATTATTTTCTGTCCGAACGCTTTTAGAAAAAAGGTCATAAAGTCAGCTTTATTCATAGAGCATATTTCATTATGAAGAAACTCGATGAGATCCACACACACACACACACACACACACACACACACACACACACACACACACACACACACAAA